CTCCGCTGATCTAGGCCTGCGAAGTTCTATTAGAAAACCATGAGAATATACATAAAGGAACTATATTTATGGATGGCCAGGCGACGCTCCTGGCCTTGTCTTCACCCATGATAAATTCCAGTATAGTTCAGAACTGCAAGAGAGCACTAAGCTCAATCAAAGGCAAGCTCCAACTAGACTTAATCTGGGTTCCCGGCCACAGGAATCCGAGGCGGAGTTAATAACAAGCTTGCTAGGATCGATCAAAGGAGAGATCAGTAGACAATTTCAAAAAGTTGGAAATAACAGGTGGAAAAATATTATGAAATGCGTCATAAGTAAACAATTAAGGCCAACATATGATAAGAACCCTGTGCAAGGAACCAGGAGTTGAAGGTTGGGATGCAACAAGTCAGAATTGGAGTTATGTTGCCTGTTTGAACTCCTGGGGACCGGGGAGATCCTTTCTTGGCCACTCAGGGTGATTGGCGAAGCTGCGTGCGAACTAGGTGCAGATTGCACATCCTTTGAGTCTAATGTCGCAATAGTGCACTTAAGAACAGTAGAACTTTCCTATCTCGAATCACCATAATCCACAAAGAAACTTCGAGTGATAGCAGGAAATTTGTACGCAATTTTACTTCTATTGCTAATTAAATAGTTCGAGTTATGGAGAAATTCGAGTTCTCGAAATTTGAGTTATGGTACTGTATTATCTTTTTTTGGGGATTGTGAATATATGCGTATGTTTAGAAATATATACAATGAAATCTCCCATAAACAGACCCTGACCAACCAGCCTTTCTATCTAGTTATTAAAGTTTTTTTTACTGTATTTCTTAATTATGAATTGTTTTGACTATCCTATCTTCTAAATTGCTTCAAACTGGGCTAATTCTGCTAAAATCGGTTCAGTAGTTTAGAAGTCCATCGCAGAAAAACAACGTGACCCCTATTATTTATTCTCTTGCAACCAGTTGCTACAGAGTATTATAGTTTTGTTTTTGGGACGTGGCATTCCTTTCATATTCTTACGCCTCCCTGTGAAATCGGACAATAAACACGCCTACTTCCCATATACCACAATTTTAAAAACCACTTGATTTTTCTATTTTTTAATGCACAAATCAAGAAGCAACTAATATAATGGGATTAAACTTTGCTCTAATAATTCCCTTAAAGTATGTCAATTTTCGACGAAGAATTGTTCAAATCCAAACAAAACTGTTCAAGACCCCAGGTACCTATAGTTTAGCTTTTGATCTAAAATGTCGGTCAATGTGTGATATATATAACTGGAATTACGGGATAATCTGGATTTTCGAACATCCGGCTGATTGGTGATTGGTTTTACGCCTTAAAGAATTTACCTGGTTTTGATTCTTGCAAGTTGCAAGAGTATAAAGTGTTCGGCTGCAGCCGAACTTAGCGCTTCCTTACTTGTTATATATAAAGATTACAAACCGAATTTTCCTTACAATAATTGTTACAAATTTGTAGTAATTGTTTTAGATTAACTTTTAAATATTACTTTTATATGTAACCCTTGCCACCCTGATGAAAGCCGCTACAAAAAAAATGAAATAACTTTTTTTTTATTTAATGAATCTGGTTAATTTTTTTATTTTATTTTGCAGATTGACTTTTACATTTAACAAAAATGGATAACTGGGACACTGAAACAAGAATTTGGATTCTCCGCCGCTAACACGCACTGGAGTCCGTAGTTTCGGATCAAAGAGAGTATATTCGCACGTTTGGCGGCAATCCTCCGAGCAGATGGACCATAATGAGACTTGTAAACAATTTTGCCGAGCATGGGACAGTCAACAGAAGACCTTACTATCCAAACCCTTCAGTTCGAACGGAGGAAACAATCGCTCCTGTAGCTGCTGTCATACAAAACAATCCACGTGTTTCGACAAGAAGCTTATCTGCTCAAATGGGTGTAAGCAGACAGTCATTACAGTCAATTATGCACAAAGATTCGGACTTATTCCCATATAAATTCAAATGACCAACAAACTGAACGCTGCAGACTTGCCGATTYGCTTGGAATTTTGCCAGAAGATGMTTCAAATGGTGGAAGAGGATGGAAACATGTTGAACTGTCTTTTCCTGTCTRACGAGGYCCATTTCGATTTAAACGGCAACATAAACAAACAAAATTGTCGAATATGGAGTTCATCCAACCCACAGATACTCCATGATACGGAATTGCATACACTTCGTGTCACAGTGTGGTGTGCAGTTTCATCACGCTGCATTGTCGGGAACTACTTCTTCGAAGAAAACGGTCACAACGTTACGGTTACTGGATACCGTTACTTGAGCATGTTGAGAGAGTTTTTCTATCCAGAATTACGCCGAATTAGAATTTCTTTCAACTCTGTGTAGTTTCAGCAAGATGGTGCAGCTCCTCACATAGCTCAACCTGTTATGACAGAATTGCGACGAAAATTTCGCAATAAGCTAATATCCGGAAACTCCACATTCCGTTGGCCACCCAGGTCGCCTGACGTCACTGCACCTGACTTTTTCTTGTGGGGTTATTGCAAACAGGAAGTCTACAAAGCAAAACCAACAAATTTGAATGAACTAAGGCAATCCATTCAAGAAACAATTGCGGTTATTCCTGTCTCAACTCCCCAAGCAGTAATGAACAACTTTTTGGTACGATGCCGCACATGCATCAACGAGTAGGGGGGGCATTTAAATTCCATTATTTTTAAAACTAATTAAGCTATATTTAATAAAATTGAATGAGCTTTAACATGAATAAAAGAAAAATTAATTCCATACACTGTAAAAAGAACTGTTTGAGTTTCTTAGTGTAGCAAAATTCATCAGCCACCCTGCATATTAGTTTGGTTTGGCCTCTCCAAGAATGAGTTCTTAATTGTAACGGGAAGGTCCTCCTACTTACAATTTTCTATTTTATCTTATTATCATATAGAAAACTTTATACCTCGCTTTCAACTACTTGCAAAAATATCTTGTTCCTTAGATGAAATAAAAAATTTTCCCAAAAATAATCAAACTTTAACTGTTATTATCTTTTAAATGGTTGGGTGTACGAAAAAATCGGACAGGCCTTTTTTGTAGAGCATTCAATTTCCTACAAAATCTAAGGAACAAGATATTTTTTCAAGTATTTGGAAGCGAAATATAAAGTTTTCTACATGACAATGATAATAAGAAAAAATATAAAATTAAAGTTCTGCGAAGGATTTATGGTCCTTTACGATGAGCTGTATGAGTTATACGACGACATTGACATAGTTCAGCGAATTAAGAGACAGCGGCTACGCTGGCTAGGTCATGTTGTTTGAATGGACGAAAACACTCCAGCTATGAAACTATTCGACCCGCCGAGGGAAGCAGAGGAAGAGGAAAACCTCCACTCCGTTGGAAAGATTAGGTTTAGAAGGACCTGGCCTCGCTTGGAATATTCAATTGCCGAAAAGAAGAAACGACTTGCGCGCTGTTGTTAACTCGGCTATAATCGCGTAACCGGTGTCTACGCCAATTAAGAAGAAGAAGAATAGAGATCATCATAGATATTAATCGATTGTCGTTTTTTTTATATTTTGTAAGCAACTCAAATACGAAGAGGTTAAAAATAAATCAATTTTACATAAATTTCGACAATAATATGAAACAAAGTCATCAAATAGTTTTATTTTTATTGATAAGTGTGTATCGACATATTTATTTTCATTCAAGTGTAAAAACATCTCTGAATAATGAAATGTAATATATTTTGTGATTGTCACTTACAGAATAGCAAAATCGTCTCAAGTCAAGTAACAGCATAATAGCGAAATAGTTGAATTTTCGGCACAGTTGGTATATACACATTACCGATATTTTTGGGGTATTAGGTTCCGCCAGAGGCCTATTTTCACCCACATAATATATGCAATACTAAACAAAACTATTTGTAATAATTTAAACAAAAATATATATGTATATTATTCAAATGTTTTTATTAAAATAGAACAGATTTAAAAATAGTTTGATACAATAAATAAAATTTTAACCAAAACTATCTAAATTTAATCTTTATGAACTTTAATAATCGAAATACACTTGAAAATTTAATTAAAACGTGTTTAAAATAAAAAATTGGATACCATGACACGGCAACACACTCGTGCCTTTTCTAAGGCATTTGACCGTTTTAGTAGTAGAATTTTTAGGAAACCTTAACGAACTGCCTGGCCTTTTGCTCTGAGTCTTCCCTCATTCTATAGCATTATTAATGTAATTTCTGTCATTCTATAAGCTTTCGCCTGCGTATGTATGGGTGAAAATGGTAGGATTTCTTACTTGTAGGTTTATACAATGATTCGAATGGATCGCAACTTCGCACATTGACTGCTAGTGCAAGTTAAAATTATAACGAGGAAATATGTGTAGCTGCATAAAGTTTATATAGTATATCAAATGTATTTAACACTTCTTATAATAATTTGGTTTTTCTTGTTCGGAAAATATTCTAATTTTAATACATTGACTGTCAATATGTGCGTCTCATTCTTACACATTAAACGATTTCGTATAATGAATGTTGATACCACGGTATGGGAGGAGTAGAGTCACTATCAGCTGATGTTATGTAAAGAAAGCCACAGGTGAGAAGTACCACTGTAGAAACGTCAAGGCTAGTCCGGGGTTGAGTTTCTATTGGAACCAAGATGGCCAACTTTTAACCGGAAAATGGTTCCATTGTGTTATTTTCTAACAATTTATGGGAAAATGTCCCAAATATTGATTATATATAAAACATTAATATATTTTCAAAAGAAAATATTTTAATTTTAATATATATTTTTAAAGATGAGAACAATATGAGCAAATACATGAAAAATTAAGTTTTTTATTTATGCCTCTTTTTAACTGTGGTAAGTTCACCACAGAAAAATGTTATGAACAAATAAGCAACCATGTCGAATGGTGGAGTCCAGAATATGCTCATTCGCAGCCATATTTATATTTTTGTCATCATAACGCAGGTTTTTGCAAAACAATTTGTTTTAATTTATTTCATKGGACAATCCTTTACTATGGTTTATTTAGTTATTTGAATCTGGAAGAAGTGTTTGCAAATTTCCATTGGGAAGATAAATAACAGTTCGACTGGGATTTTCTTCCAATAAAAGTACGAAATAATTAAGCATGGCTTCGTTAATATTGCTGCGTAATGTGTCAGGTGCTGTTCCAATTTTATGATTTAAGAGATGAAAATGTAGCTACCAACTTAGTTGGTATTGAATTCGAGACAAAATTTTAAATTCAATGACGTGCTCGTGGAAGGTGCACGTCGCATTGCTAGGTAAGCTAAAATTAACTTTATTTCAACAGATTTACGATGTATTTTTAATTTTTTTTTTTTATAGAGTCAGCAAAGAAGCTGGTGTACAACATTTAATTATTTGTCTGCCTTAAAAGAGAGTCCCAAACCAATGAGCTTTGTGCTTGAGGGTTTTGAAGAGCAAATACTACGGTGAATGTGCTGTTCGGATGTTGCACAAGCTATTGTCAATTGCGCTAAAGATCCCGATCAAGCTGTTGGGTATATTTTGAGCAAAATTGAATTTACATACTTTCTAATATGCTAAACACTCAACACCCGCCTAGCAGACCAAAACGTTACCATTTGAGCGAATTAATTGATGTCATTTGGGTGTACAATTGACCTCCATGGAAGAGCTAGTACCATGGAAATTGCGACCATATCGTGCTGCGCAATATTATCATACCGAATTGGGAGAGTGGGAGGAACCAGCTCCACCAAATCCGATAGAACATCGGGAAGAACTTGAATAAAACTATTTTAATGGCAACAACGCTAACAACAACAGCCAAGCAAATAATAAACAACACTCATCAAATGAAAGTTGGTGGCATTGGTGGCCAAGCAGCGATTTGAAAAGAAACATTTGCATCTACGCGAATTACAATTCGTCTTTACATCTAGTGAAATATGGTCGATTATGAACGATGTGGAAATTGATAATTAAACTTTAAAAAACAAAAAAATTTAATGTGGTTAATAATGAACCGCTATTAAAAATTAAGGAATTTGAGTTGTATTTTTATTTTGGTCAAACAAGTTATTATCGATTAGGATAATTTCAAATGGAGTATATTTCGAACAACCTTTTTGTTTTTTGTTTTCAAATATGCAAGTATTGCCATTGAGCATGGCAAAATATTGTTGCGTAAGCGAATTTAAACTACTTTTTACTACTATAGAGATATTGCAAAATCAAAAAATAATTCCTTTAAGAATCCTTTTTATTTAAAAACTTAGCTTAGAACTAAAAAAATAATATGTTAAATCTGTTAAAATGGTCAAACACTCCATTTGGGAACGTGTAGGATTCCTGATCGAAGGCGTATAGCTAAATTCTGACACATAAAAAGTGTGTGTAGTTTGTGATTACAAAAATTTATACTCAAAATATATGGCTATTATAATTATCTCTTTATTTATCTTACAATAAAAATTGTGTTTTACCCTTCAGCCGAATTATTATGATATGTAATTCCAAATTTTTCGACAATAGTTATCTCTTTTGGTCCACCCATTATCAAAAATAATTTCCACTTTGTTCATGAATAAGTTAACTAGTACGCTTAAAAATATATAGCATATTTATTTATATCAACAAGATATAATTAAATCTTTTGATAACAGCTTAAATTTCATTCTATAAGCAAAATTTAAAATAGTATTTATAAATGTATAAATATAGTACTGTAAATTTACAATTTAACATTAAAGCATTTTTTCTTTACGCAACCCGTTTTAACCTCTCGCCACCTTTATTCACCAGAGGTGGCCATGATGTTTTTGTTGTGAAAGTCCACTTGGGGGGTAGCTTAACGACTGTGAATGGCTCTTTTACTACGGTGAGTGGGACTTTCCCTACTCCCTTGTACCATGGTTGATACTCTTACAATAGAATTTTCCATTTCAAGACAAAAAGTTACTCATGGATATGCATTAGTATCAGGGATAATGGGATGCCCAACTTATTCCAGTTTGAGAGCGCCTCAATATAAGAGTTTTTTATAACACTTTCCATTATGGCCAGATCGCACCAAATAAGAATTTTTCAACATTTTAAATTAACATTCCCAACATTTATTTCGATTGGAAATTATTATATATTGGACTTTAAATATATGGCGAAATTAATTTTTTTTTTTTTTTTTTATTTTATAAAAGCTTACATAATAATACAATTATTATACAAACTTAAAAAAAAACGCAGCACTAGCATCATGGGCTATCGGCCGACTGGTTATATTAT